ATGTTTATTAGCAAATGGTCAAGTTTAGGTACTGAAATGACATTAGTTGAATAATTAGTGTAATCAAGTCCTCGATCCCTAAGAATCTCTGGTTCCATATGCATCAAGATGACACTATCGTGTCTCGATTAAGATTTCTAGCCGATCCTTAATCATGACTAGTGGTGACTCTTAGCAAATACATAAAATTTAAATAATTAATATCATGCGAGGTATGGACTTAAAGAGAATCCCATAAAGTACCTATAAATTTACTTTTCAAGACGGCTCTCGAGAGGTAGGTCGCGACAAGTGTGTCATGATTCATGGTAGGCGCCCGAAGAAAAATGAAGATAAGAAGAGCTACTGCATTTAGGGCGCGCATGATAACCATCTTGTTTCTGTCTAGAACTAGTTTTCTGTTCCCAGGAACAAGTTTGGAATAGAAATCCGTTTGGTAATGCAATTCGAATTTTTTATTTCTGGAACAACTTTTTGTTCAAGAACTGACTCTGGACCAAAAATCAAAATAAAAAAAAGTAGGTTTTCTATTTCTGGACAAAAAATGAAAACAATTTCTAAAATAACCTGTTTTCTCTCTTCAAAACACATCTCTTTCTAAATTTGGCCCTGGTCTGACCATTCTGAATCGGTTCGGTCCGGTTCATTCCCGACGGGAAAATAAAAAAAATTCTAAATAAATTAGAAAAATAAGAAAAAATAAAAAAATTTAGAAAATTCATTAAAAAAAATTAGGAAATCCATAAAATTCCTAAAAATCTCAAATTTTTTTTAGAAAATCCATAAAAATTGAAAAATTCCAGAAAAATTCATAAAAATTTCCAGAAAATAAAAAAGTCAGATATCAGGAAAATAGGAAATTTGGTAAATCTTTAAAAAAAATCAAAAAATAAAAAATTTCAAAACTTCACAGAATGATTGAGAATACCTGTGGTCACCCACTTTGAGTGAAATTTAAATTTTTTGAAGTGCCCAAATAATATTTTTGAAGACTCCTTAGTTTAGGGATTTAAAAGGGGTTTTAATCCCTAAAAACTCTAAAAGGGGTTTGACCCCCAAAATGAGTCTTTACTCCTAGAAAAACTCTAAAATCCTAAAAAACAACACAATCCTTTAAATGAATAAGTCGTTAGGGCTTTGTTAGGGTTTGATTTGTTTTAATTGATTTTCATTTTAGAGACCATTTCTAAAAAAATGGATTTCTGTTCCGGGAAATAGAAATTTGTGTTGTTATCAACAGATTTATGTTTTAGGAAATAGAAATTTTATGCTGTTATTAAATAGATTTATATTTCAAAAATAAAATTTTTTTATCGTTATTAAACGAGTTTCTTTTTAAAGAAACTCATCCTGAGAATAGATATTCAGAAATTATTTCTGAAATAAAATGATTATCATTCGCACACACTCGACTAAAAAAATAGATACACGAAGAGAAAGAAGTCCACGTTTTCTTTTTTCAAGTGCATTTATTGTGTGTTCTTTTATTTGACTTTGTTTGTGTGCGCTTGCATTACTTTGTGGACTTTCTTGTTCCTCATTTAATGTTGTCAGACACAAATGGTTAACGACCGGTCATTATAAATGGCTGTGAAGTTCAGAGAAGTATATTCACCATCTGTCTTTACTCGTCCCAGTCGTTCCAAAATTTCAAAGTTTTCACTTTTCTTCGGGAAAATTTCAATTAAGGACCCCAATTTCTCAAAAGAGGACTTAAAGTAAATATGATATCAAATAAGGGTTTGAAGTGCCCAATCAATCTCAAATAGGGATCCGAAGCGCTCAATTCGTCTCAGGTTAGGGCCTGGGTTCGCCGGCCGGTCAAATCTCACCGGCCGGCGAGCACAGTTACTATTCCGGTTGCCGGAACAGTACATTTCATCTCTGTTTTTTTTTTCTTCCATCCACCGGCCATAGTCGGGGCCGGCGGAGGTCGCCGGCCTCAGGCGAAGCCGCCCTTGCCGGCATCAGGCGAGGGCCGCCCTCGCCTGGGCTGGGCGAGGCCGCCCTTGCCGTTGCAGGCGAGACCGGCCTCGCCCGACGCTGGCGAGGTCGGTCTCGCCTGCAACGGCAAGGCCGGCCTCGCCCGATACCGGCGAGGTCGAGCCCTCGCTAGATTTGGCGAGGCTTGACCTTGTCGGCGTCGGGCGAGGCCGGTCTCGCCTGCAACGGCAAGGCTGGCCTCGCCTACAACGGCAAGGCCGGCCTCGCCTGATGCCGGCGAGGGCGGCCCTCGCCCGACGCCGGCGAGGGCGGCCTCGCCTGAGACCGGCGGAGGGAAGGAAAAAAAAAAAACAGAGATGAACCAGAACAGTATCTGTGCTCGCCGGCCGGCGAGATTTGACCGGCCGGCGAACCTAGGCCTTTACCTGAAACGAATTAAGCACTTCGGGCCCCTATTTGAGACTGATTGGGCACTTCAGGCCCTTATTTGACACCATGTTCACTTTGAATCCTATTTTGAGAAAAGGACCCACTTGGGGTCCTTAATTGAAATTTTCCCAATTCTTTCGGTTCCAACAGCCTCTTTCTTTCAATTTCTCCAACGTTTAACATAAGATCGGACCTGGGAAGTCAATGGTGTTTTCAGTAAGGAAGAAAAATGGAAGTGTTCAGCACAGACGAAGCAAATGAAAATAAACAGAAGTACGACCGGGTGTGCAAGCTAAAGGCTTTCGATGAATCAAAGGCGGGTGTCAAGGGCCTCGTTGATGCGGGGATTACCGAAGTTCCTCCTATTTTTGTAGAACGCCCAGAGAACCTGCGAAGTGCTCTGGCATCGGGCGACAGCCGCTTCCGTGTACCTATAATTGACCTTGAAGATATTGCGAAAGATCCATCTCGGCACCAGGAGGTTGTGAATGAAGTTCGAAGTGCATCCAAAACATGGGGCTTCTTTCAGGTGGTGAATCACGGGATCCCCACCGCTGTTCTGGAGGAGATGCTGGATGGAGTGCGCCGTTTCCATGAGCTAGATGCTGGAGAGAAGAGACGTTTCTATTAGCGAGATTTCACAAGAGGCATTGCGTGTCACAGCAATTTTAATCTGTATAGAACAGAGGCGGCTAATTGGAGGGACACCCTACTCTGTATTATGGCACCTAATGCTCCCGTGGCAGAGGACTTGCCGGCGGTATGCCGGTAAGTGATTTTGCAGAATATTCAACCACAATGTCTTATGATATTTTGTTAAGATTTTGCTTCCCACGGATTAGGAATTTGCGACGTATTGACCCACTAAATTTTTTTGAACACCCTAGTGACATAATGCTGGAATTCTCGAAGCAAGTGATGAATTTAGGAATCACATTGTTCGAGCTACTGTCGGAGGCGCTCGGGTTGAAGCAGAACCATCTGAAGGACATGGACTGCGCTGAGGGACTCGTCCTTCTGAGCCAGTACTACCCCAAATGCCCACAACCAGAGCTCACTCTGGGAGCCATCAAGTACGCCGACAGCGACTTCTTCACCGTGCTCCTGCAAGACCATATAGGAGGTCTCCAAGTTCTTCATCAGAATCAGTGGATCGATGTGAGCCCCGTGCCAGGAGCGCTGGTAGTTAACATCGGAGATCTGCTTCAGGCAAGTCTCACCTAACATACTCTCTCTCTCCCCACGTCTTATCACTAGAGACCCTGTAAGGCACATCAATAAATCACAAACAAAGCATTTTAAGCGTGAGCTCTTGATCCGGCAGTTGAGTGTTCACTTTCTAATCACGAACCAGAGCATTTTTTTCAGCTTATCTCCAATGACATATTCAAGAGCGCCGAGCATAGAGTTTTGGTCAACAACGTGGGGCCGAGAGTGTCTGTGGCGTGCTTCTTTTACACGGCGGCGTCGCCATCTCCAAGACTGTACGGACCCATCAAGGAGTTGATTTCGGAGGGCGATCCACCAAAGTACAGAGAAACCACCATCATGGAGTATGTTTCCCGCTACAGTGCGAGAGGCGATGAGACTTCGGCTCTGCAGATGTTCAAGCTGTGAGTTTGGCAGTGGCAAACATCTGGTGGTACAAATCGGAAAGGGAATGCCTACATTAGCAGAAAGTAAACCCGAGCGTGATACGAGCTTGCCGGCTAGTTTGTTACTTTTCATATTCGTATTATGTCGTCGCTTTGATATGCAAAAATAATTTCAATAATTGACTACGTTATAGAATCAAGCCACTAGGTGCAAGTGCCTTAGGAGATTATATGCAATATACCCGAATATTCAAAGCACAGAGCTCCAATGTCAAGTCCATCTCCACCGATGATCATGTTACTCCCGTGTTGTTGAGACCTTCATAATTAATGATTGATGTAGGGTTGGTTCACATAGTTTATGAACCAAGTGCCAACTTTCTTCATGGATAGATTTGCGCGAGCACTATTAAACTAAGGAACTGGGTTGGAACGACAATTCGATTTTACAATGTTTTAGTTTTCTACTTAGAGTGTATTTAAGTCGAATCCTAGGTCATCGGTCAGTGCTTGAATGTCCTATATTCTTCTGAACTTGTTCTTCCAAGAATATCAGTTTCTTGCCCAGACAATGTTTCTCATGTGTACACCTACTTCTTCATCTCAAGAAGCGATGGCTATCTTGGAGTGGCAGAGAGAAGACGAGGCTGTGTTGTCTAGCATGAGGAGATCAATGAATTGGTACAAACAATGTGTTTGTCCCAGAAGTAACAAAAGCTTTTAAAACATGGGAAGCGGTCTCTTTATCATCTGCAAAACTATAGTTTTAAGATGGGGAAAAAGCTCGAAGTTCACCAAAACGGCGATATAGGCTAGCTAACAGAGGGAGATAGAGCGGGAGAGAGGGAGAACTTCACCTTTATTATAGAAAGATTGTGTTTCAGTTTTGCTGCTACGTTTATGTTTTGGTGTCATAAGCTCCAACCTTTACGGGTAATTGAGCGTTCTGCTGTCACAAGCTCTGAGCAGCAGAAGCCTCTTCTCGTTATGCAAATTCACATGACAGAGATTAAAGACGTAAAAACAGCAACAATGCGCACTTATGCACCGCAGAAAGAAGGGTGCAGATTTAACCCCAGGGAAGAGCCATTTCCGCAGCTCAGTTAGCTTCCCGCGCAGATTTCTTTGCTTGAGTGACACAAGTGGCCTCGAAGCTTTGTTTATGGGGTTAGCAGATTGATCGAACTTTTCTGCCCTCCTCCTCTCTCCCAACGGTGTTGTTCTAGCAATTCCTAGCATCATCTTCTTTATATTCTTACCCGGCAGAGCTCAAGTCCTTCGACGACTCAAAGGCCGGCGTGAAGGGGCTGGCCGACACCAAACTGACCCACATAACCCAAATCTTCGTCCACCACCAACTCAAGCTCGAGCATGATCATGCCTCGGAAGCACTAGGATCGAGCCTGAGCATTCCAGTCATAGACTTTGGATGCGTGGGCCGAACCCGTAGAAGCCCAGGCGAGCAGAAGCGGATGGTCGATCTGGTCCGGGAGGTGTGCGAGAGGTGGGGGTTCTTCCAGGCGGTGAACCACGGCATGCCCGCAGCCCTCATGGAGGAGATGGTTAGAGGGATCAGGAGGTTCCATGAGCAGGACCTCGAGGCGAAGCGCGAACAGTACTCGCGAGATTATGGCATGAGGAAGGTGCTGGACAACAGCAACTTCGACCTGTACAGAGCTCCGGCGGCGAACTGGAGGGACTCGATCACCTGCGTCTTGGCTGCTCGTAGTCCGGATCCTCAGGAATTGTCTGCTGTCTGTCGGTAATCTCTGCGTGTGCGGGTCTGTGCGTGCGTACGCGGGGAGAACACACTCCTTGAAAGGCTGAAACTAGATATTTTTTTGGGACTTGCGACAGAAAATGCTTTCAATTTAGTTATGCGATACCCACTTGTGTCGTGCGAGAGGGATCAAAGGGTTCCATGATAGTTTTTGTTTTTTTGACACATAGCAAATCAGGGGAAGAAAGCGAAGAAGCTCTAGCCTAGATAAGATTTAAGATGTGATAATTAAGTAATAATGGGGCTTTTGGACTCGATGTAGCTGCTGCTTGGCCTGGCGAAACGAGTGCCCAGTGTGCTGGAAGTTCTTGTGATTTTGTCAAAGGGCTTCAGAGTCGTAGTTCAGTTGAAGCGAACGATCAAAAGGGGTCATAGATCTTCAGGGGATTCAGAGTCGGAATGCCAATAGATTCGGTTTGAATGGAAACTTATTCCTTTTATGTTCTTCCTCTTTGGTATGCAAGAATGATTGCACTGTTACGCGAATCATGAACTCGTATAATAGAACCTCAATTTTGATAATTGGGTTTGAGTTTTTATGCAAAGTAAACTGGCCTGGTCCATTTATATCCCCACATCTAAAACCAATTTATGTAATTCAAGTACTGTGGAAATTACTTGTCAGTAGGATCCTTTTGAGAGGGCAAAAGAACACTACTAGTGCCATAACTTGTGTACGGCGCTCACTTTGATGCCATAAGTTTTTTTTGGATCACTTTAGTGCTAAAATTTTTGAAAAACGATCATTTAAGTGCTAAAATTTTTGAAAAACGATAACTTAAGTGCCAACTCCGGTGCCGTGCACAATTTTTCACCGGAAATCCGACGTGGCATTTTTTTTTATTAATTTTCGAAGCTGACGTGGCTCGCCGGAGATTGGCACTTAAGTGATCGTTTTTCAAAATTTTTAGCACTTAAATGATCGTTTTTAAAAAATTTTAGCACTTAGGTGATCGTTTTTCAAAAATTTTAGCACTGAAGTGATCCAAAAAAAACTTATGACACTTAAGTGATCGTTTTTCCTCTGACTTGGCACCAAAGTGATCCGAAAAAAAGTTATGGCACCAAAGTGATGTCCGTACACAAGTTATGGCACTTATAGTGTCCTTTTGCCCTTTTGAGAGAGTGAGGTAGAGATTGATTTTCTGATGTTCATTGCGTTTGACTAATCACTTGTTCTCTAAAACCAACCGATTTGCAGAGACGTAATAATTGAGTACAAGGACAGAATTCAGGAATTGGCAGATAAAATATTCGAATTGCTGTCCGAAGCTCTTGGCCTGGACCCTAGCTACCTGAAAAACATCCACTGTGGGGAGGGACTCTTCTTCATCGGCCATTACTACCCAGCGTGTCCAGAACCAGACTTAACCCTTGGGACTAGTGATCATACCGATAGTAGCTGTATCACCATTCTTCTCCAAGACCAAATTGGTGGCCTCCAGGTCCGCCATCAGAACCAATGGATCGACGTTGCCCCAATTCCTGGGGCCCTCGTAATAAACTTAGGAGACATGATGCAGGTCAGTTCACAAGATATTTGCAGTTTACATTTCTATCAGTTAGTTTCTTGTTTCTATGTTCTCGCATGAACCAATGGATTTCTAGCCTAATCTGCACTTTCTTGTGAGGCTGATCTGATGAGTAGGTCCTTCAGTCAATTTAGTATCATAGTCCATGGACACTGATTTGGCGTTACAATCTGAATTAGTGGATTGAATGATAGCTTTTTCACCTATACTTCTGTCCCAACTGTTTCGTAGTGTGTTAGAGACGCTAAATACTTCCCTTAGTCGGTGTTGAGGTCACAATCTAATGTCGAGTTAGGTTTTGCTAGTGTTGGGATTAAAGTTGCAAACCGTTAAGTTTTCTCTATTTTCAACTTGTAATCACGAGCAGTTCTATTGTCAAAATGCTTTTTATGTTGATTTAAAATCTAGACCAGGTCTGTTTATCCAAAGGATAATTTTAAGCACCAGTCTAGTTGATGGTGAATTCATTATCGGATTAGGTGGACTTTTCAAGAACATTGACTTGATTCGGGGTATCATTTGTGACTAAGCCCTTGAGTTCGAGAGCCTTTGATTGTTCTGGGGTGTCACTAACAAGACCTTTTAAAGAAAAATATTTGGACTTCATGTTCGTACATGTAGTCGTAATACTTTTGTTTGATTTCTTTGGCTTGATTGGGGAAAGTGTTAAAGAATCATTGCCTAATTTCTTTATTTTCTTCTCAATTGAATTCTTGATTTAAGAATGCCCTATTTGTTTCAAATTGTTTTTCTAAAACATTAAGCTAAGAATCAACCATTTGTGAATAAGTGGGTGAATAATGCGGAGAATCTGAGTTTACTTGAACCTGTTCTGGTTGGTCTTGTTGATTAACAAGCCTAGCAATACCGGATCTATTATCAAGACCGCTAATATCGGTGGTAGGATTACAAGCTTGATCCGTAGTAATTCCTGCATTAATAGTATTGCCTTGACTACTAGCAAGGAGACTAATTATAGGAGGAAGATTTGAATGAAGATCAATTAATCTTCTTGATGAGGATGAGCAAAATGAAGGAGTTGATCTTAAATCGATTGATCTTTTAGGAAACCGAATGGTTACTCTACCTTTTGGATATTGTATGATATTGATTGGATTTGCATTTTGAACAACTTGTAGGGAAATTTGGCTTTCTAATTCTCATTGTTCCGGTAAAACTATTTGGTTCTAACTGATTGATCGAGGAATGATAGTGTTAGCTCTAGAGATATCAGTTTGGAGAAGAAGAGTTTCTCTTTTAGCACTGTGTTTGGAAGCTTTGCTTCCAAATGCATAAACCATAGCTTTGTAGTAAATCCTATAAACCAAAGCTAAAGCAATAGATCTATCAGCTCTTTTATAATTATGAGTCTTGATATGAAGAGTTAATGATTTGAGAATATTTTTATCCTTGAGTGATACTGAGAAATCGGGATAACAGTCAAAATTCTCAAGTATAGTCGTAAAAGCTAGTGCAAATTGCCACTATAAGTCAGGACTACTGGTACACAAGTCAAAGACCTAGATTTAATTGGTTTATGGAGCTTATCTGGTATTTTATGATCTTACAGAGTATCTATGGTTAAAAATATTGTGAAAGAGGGTTAAACCTCTTTTAATAAATATAAAAAGGTAAAATCAAATGACTTCATTGCGCTCTCTCTCTCTGTTTCTCTCTCTCTCTCTATCTTGTGGGTGCACACACACAAGACAACTTTTTGTCGTATATATAATGACTTCACTTGCTCAAGTTTGAGAGCCTAATTTAAAAAAAAAAAACACAAATTTTATGTCAAATGACAATTCTGGACCGAATTTTTTTTTATTTTATAAAAAATCACCAACTTTAACTTAAATTCCAAATCCGGCCAAAACAATTTGAAAATTTCACATCACGGGGCAAAATTTGGGACTCGAGTAAAAGTTTGTACTTTTTATTGAAAAAAAAAAGTTCAGGCTAGAATCGTCACTCAAGATAAAATTGGTATTTTTTTATATATTAAATTAACCTGAAGTTTGAGTCGTAGATGTAATGACTACACTCTGTTCTGGCATCAGGTAATACTTTATTTGTGTTAAAAATATCATTTCTCTACTAGGATCGATGCACTAATATGTATACGATTTTGTTATTCTAGTAACTTGTATGTATCAATGGAACTACTTAATTTATGATTGCTACCATGAGCCATATTTTCCATTAAGAGAGCTTTTAATAAAAATCCTTGACTTCTTGTAGAAAAAAAATTGTGTGACAAATCTCAGCATGAAATATATGAGTACTTCAAACGCTATTATAATAACACGGTTAGTCATCTAATTTTTCATGAACATTCACATATCCTAAATTCCTAGCAGGCTAATGTTGTTTTTGTTTATACACACATGATTTTCTAGATCCACCATTTCTCACAATTTTGTTGATCCAAGGGCGTGTTGTCGACCACGTTACTCGAGGTGGAGTAAATCCAAGCCGAATCACCTGTACGCAATTAATACAGTATTCAAAGATTCTTCACAATAAAGACTAGAAGAGAAAACACAAGTAGCTCTCGATTAAAGAAAGATTATTGGGTTCGATACCCAAAACCTTGACCGTCAAGCCTGATCTTGGTGCATATGGTACCACCACAGATTTCTTATCAACTTTCGTTTTATAATGACAAGAAATTAATTAATTGATTAGTGTCCGGTCCACCAATACAGAGGTACATCGATCATCACTCACAAATTTGCCATATAGTGCAAGCATAAAGCTAACCAAGATAATATACCTTCACCTCTGATTGATAGTATATCATATCACTTAGCTATGATATACTTAAATTTTGCATATATAATTATATATCTCACGAGTAGTAATGCGTTAAATTATTATTTAGCAAAGAGAAAATAGCTACTCAGAGATCGGGAAAACCGTTTTGAGGAAGCCAACAAAATTTGTCTTATTAGTGAGCCTATGATAAAAGCTAACCTAATGAAAGGCAATACTTCATTTTCCATGGAAGAAAAAGAAAGCGAAGACTAAACAGATGAAAACCATTCCCTCGAATCCGGCACATTAATTAAAACTTTATCTCATGTTGAACGTCATACTCATCAACAATTCAAGAATATATTTAACATCATATAAAGAACAATATGAATGATGCTGTGGTATATGCTCTTAAGTGAAAATAAGTCCATTTGTTTATACCTAATAGATATCTTGGTCCATACTTAAGCACCAAGTTTTTCCAAAGTTCTGCTGTCATCAATGGATCTAATATTATTATTTTCTAATATACTTAATTGCGCATATAGCAGTCATGTGTTAAATTAATATTGAGCAAAAAAGAAACAATCACTCGGAGGTTGGGATGTCATTTCAAATGTCATTTCAAAGGAAGCCTCCGAGAAATGACATCCCAACCTCCGAGAAACAACAACTCAGGTATATTAAAAAATAGATTCCGTTTGGAGTATCTAAGGTATCCTCCTTAGAGACCCAAATGGGGTCCTTCGGTGATAAAGGTAAACACCACATAGGTCTCGGTCTATTATCTCCAAGCTGGCAAGTATAGTTGCCTCCTTCGCCTAGGGTGACAAGGAGGAGCTTTCAGGCTCCCGTTGTGCTGGCCCATGCTTCGCACAATGCTAAGTTAACGGCTTGCCGGCACAACGCCCATGGTTAACTTACCACCGTTATTTTATTAGTAACCTATGACCTAGACCACGAGATTCCATCGCTCTAAAGTTGTTTGTCAGTTTATGAATAATTGACTCCACTAGGACCATAGTGATCGATATTATTCCCTACATTTGTTGGCCATTTGGCTTTTTAAACGGTCAAATTTATCAAACATTTAAGGGATAAATGTATCGAAAGTCTTAAAACTGATTACGAAAGTGCAATTAAATCCTAAAACTTTCAAAAAATATAACTAAGTCTTAAAACTTGTCACGAAAGTGTAATTGAATCCTAAAATTTTCAAAAAGTGCAAACAAGTCCTAAAACTTGTCCAATTAAATTCTTTCATTGATTGCTCTTTCTTTTTATTTTTATTAGTTAGCTTATAACCTAGATCACGAGAATCCATCACTCTAAAGTTGTTCGTCATTTTGTGAACAACTGACCTACTCTTGTTGGCCATTTGGCTTATTGAACGGTCAAATTCATCAAACATTTAAGAGATAAGCGCATTGAAAATTTTAAAACTTGTCATGGAAGTGCAATTGAGTCCTAAAACTTTCAAAAAGTGCAATTAAGTCTCGAAATTTATCATGAAAGTGTAATTAAATCCTTAAACTTAAAAAACAAAAAATCAAATAAGTTCTTAAACTTATCAAATTGATCAAATCAAGTTTTTTCATTGATTGCATTTTTTTATTAGTAACCATAACCTAGATCACGAGAATCCATCACTCTAAAGTTGTTTTTCACTTTGTGAATAATTGAGTCCCACTAGGACCAGTAGTTATCGCTATAAAAAATTTAACAATAAATACCATATCAAACAAGGAAACTTGTGTCAATCAGCCAATCATTTTTAAAATTTCTATTAGATTTCTTGGTCCATCCATAAGCACCATCATTTTCCAAATTTCTAATATTTTTTTGTTGACCTTGGCATAAAAAAGTCATGCAGCTATGTCCTCTGGCATAAGAATAAATCAACCAGAAGATCGAACGGTGAACAAACTACCTGAAAACACTATACCAAATCTTAAGCTAATACTTCTTGTTGATTGTTGAACTCCATCATCTAATGGCTTCTTCATTGAAACACGAAAGGATTTACCATGTGTTTTTGAGTTTCAGAGGCGAGGACGTCCGGAATAACTTCCTTAGTCATCTCTACAGAGCTCTTGACCAAAAAGGAATCTACACTTATGTTGATAGCGAGGAGCTCAGGAAAGGTGAGCAAATAGCGCCGACACTTATGAAAGCGATCGAGGAATCACATATCGCGATCATCATTTTCTCCGGGGATTACGCTTCCTCATGGTGGTGTTTGGAAGAGGTGGCGAAAATCATGGACTGTAAGGAAGAAAGAAACCTCATGGTCTTTCCGGTGTTTTACAAAGTGGAACCCAGAATAGTGAGAGCGGCAAGAGAGAAGTACAAAGAAGCTATGCTTAAGCATGAGTCCAAGATCGGGAAGGATTCGGAGGAAGTGAAGAGATGGAAGAAAGCTCTTTACGAAGCCGGTAGCTTGTCCGGATGGCACTTGAAAGATTGGTAAGTGGAGCGGAGTCCATATTTTGTGCGAGAAGATAATTTTTACAAGTAA